AATATACCGCTCGTAACATTCGGACACTCAACCTTTGAGCGATCGATGGTTTAGCTCAACGGTGTTCGGTGTGCAAAATGAATATCCCAATGGGAGTGCCCCCGAACCAGGAGCCAGAGGTGATCGCTATGTCTCCTCGCTGCAATGCGCAATATTATTGCTTGACTTTTGGGGCAAATGTGGCTGGTTTCGATCTACTCTTCGTTATTTGCTTCGCAGCGACATCATACGCTGCTCCAGGCCGTTCGATGCCATGAGCAAAGCAAGCTGATCTCAAAATCCTCGGCTCAACATCTGGCACAACAACGTCTTAAACGAAGATTGCATTATCCCCTGTATCCCTGGTTCCGATTACATGTGTTTGAATGTGATGCAAGCCATGGTGTTGATGCTTTGTTGTCGCGGGTCTCCAACAAACACCTTTTTACAACAATTGCAAAATAACCGTGCGTTTTGCACTCTGTGTTTCGAAAAAATATAACTACACCGACGCGAATAAACCGTGTGCTTCCTGATCACCCGCATCTGTTAACATGGGCACATCCACAGCATGTAATTTGGGGCTATTGCATATACTGTCCTGGAACAAACCAACTGGCCCAATCATTCCAAACAACAAGCTATGTTCGTTCGTTTGGGGGAAAAGCGCTCCACAAACGCATGCATACTGTCTGGGATCTTGCGCAACGAGCTCTTTAAACTTGGCCGAGCAATCGATGACATTATTGTATTCGTCCTTTTTCTTGGTTCTTGCGCGCTGATTTTTCGTGATATTTTTTTTGTGCCGCGCTTGGAACATAATTCCATAAACAAACCTCCTTTTTCGTGTGCACACACACACATATATATATATATGTATATACATATATATATATATATAGATACTCACACCAAAATTAACGCTCTGCTCCGACTAGTGTACTTATTCAGCGTACATTTTGCGATTCTCCAACTGATCTCTCTGCGGGTTCTTCTGATCTGAGCACTGGCCGCCTTATTTCCAATTCGTGTGCATTTCAAATCGGACGTTCGCGAGCATAGCCGCCGTGCCCTGCAAGTTGCTTTAGCGCAATCATCGTACTCAACCACGATATTTTTGATTTCTCTGCCAGAACTTTTGTTGGTCGGTGGTGCGGAGGGCTCAGCGAAGATTCTCTACTTGCATCATCCTGTGGCCCTTTTGGAGCGTTTTACAAGCCTTCGGGGCTCTGTAGGAAGTTTTTTGGGGCGCTCTTCGATCAAAGACAACGGCATTTCTAATCACGGTCCGCCCATCGCAAACAAACGCGTTTTTTCGGACCAATTGGGGGCACTCTTGGGCGAATTGTCCGTGATGATGACGATGACGGTGGGGATGGTAAGGGTGCAAATGCCGCAGGGAATATAATCTCTGATGGGCAGGACAAGCGCCTTCTCTCCACGGCGGGGAATGCGCGGGACCTGCGGAAACCGCATCGACAAATAATCACGATTCTGATGCCCGTTTGGAAAAGAAACCGCAATAGAATACCAGCAAGCCGCGGAAACAGTTGGAAACCTGCAACAGAAACTATCTTCTGGAAAGCCCAGGAGTCATCTACACTTTATACCGTGCCCCAATATCAATTTATTTTACCTAAATGAAAAATGAGATGCCTCGCCCCCGCCGGCTGGGAACCTGCGATTCCGCCTGCCGGCCCCTCGAAACATATTCACATTGTTAAAGGGCGGCGTTTCGCTCGCGTCATCCCGCCTTTGTCGCCGACCATCGTCTACCAGTGGCCGCCATCCGCCATCCCTGGCGCCGTCGTCATCATCGCTAACAGGCTCGCCATTCATCATCGCCAGCATCCTCAGCGCCACTCTCATTCCCATCGCCACCGCCACCCTCGCCGTCCATCTCCTCGTCGTCGTGTTTGTCATCGTTATCGTCATCGCCGCGGTTTTCCTCCTCGTCGTCGGCGTTGAACACTGTCGAGACAGAACATGCCATGGTCGGGCCAGATAAGGAAAGGGCGCCCACACTCACGTGCGTTTGCGTATCTGGCAAAAGCCAAACATGGCATGTGGCGGAGAGCCAATTGGAAATCGAAAGCAACAACCTTCCCCTGCCTGCTGGGCTGCGAAACAACTTTCTGGGCCGTCTGGAACCACGACGAACCGGAAAATGCAAGAACGCCCATCTGGACCCTCTCCGTCCAATTTTTGGCCTTTCCTTGCGCTGTGCCGATCTTGCGGAATCCTGGTCATGTCACCGTCCAGTGATAATCTCGACTCGTGCCAGCCGTGTGCATGTGGAAGTTCCGAGTTCAACTCCAGACGTATCAGTCGGCTTCAAAAGAAACGGTGCGCAGCTCTGCGAGACACGGATGCCTCCTGGGATGCCCAGCGGAGTGGGGTCCTACGCGTAACAAGACGAGACCTCGTGCTCCCTCGCGGGAGTGCCAACTGTGCAACTTTCGCCACTCTCGCGGGCTCCTGGGCGCAGCTGTGCGGCTGCCGCCGCTTTCGTAGTCTTCTGTGAGGTCCAACGGGGCGACATGCTATGCGCCGCCAGTCGGGATCTTGAACCCATTGGCTGCTGCCAGCGGCGGAGCAATCGCCACCCTCGTGAGCTTCTACGAGGTCCAGCGCGACCAAACTAGATCCTCGCATTCCCTGGGCGCGGCCAGCTGCGCCGCCGTCGCCACTTTCGTGGGCTGCTCGGAGGCCCGGCGGGGTGCATCGCTGCGCGGGCTAAAAACAAAGCTGTTTGTGATCGTCGTCGCCTGCCTGTCTTTCCATCCCTGCCCAGTTCCTCCGGCGGTGCCCCAGACAGGTCCCGTGAGCGTGCAACACGTCGTTCTCCTGTGTAACGCTTGGAAGATGTCGCCTCGCGTCCATCGTCGAATGTTCCCATTGATGGTCTCACTGGTTGTAAATTGGTTGGGTACGTCCCTGTGCATCTTCCTCTACATCTGCCCATGTCCAACCTTTTCATGTTATCGTCAATTGGATAACAACATTAATTTCGTAAATCTTCCGATGCGGGCTGTTTCCAGAGGTACCTCACGAAGATCCGGTTGTTCATCCAAACCCAGCCCCGATGGCGACGAAAAACGAATCCGCATCCACATGGAGCTGCGCACAAAAACAGCTTCGAGATCTCAATCTCGCGCGTGACAACACCAAGCGCCTACGAATCATGATTGTGGTCGGCTTCTGGACTGCGGTCATGCAAAAGAGGGAACGGCGCCCTGAGTGATACGGAATCGTACATGCAATGAAAACGGAACCAATGTCGACCAGAAATCGTACCGCAATGGTGTAGCGTCTACCGTGTTGTCGATGATATCACGTACCATCACTCCTTTCGTGGAGCGGAATCCTACCTGGACGTCGTCGTGTTCGGGAAGCACTTCGATATTGTCGGAATCCGGGCTGCATTCAGGCATTTGGAATAACAGCCAAATCTATGAACGCGCGCACGACGATTCTTCTTCCATAGTATCCTCTCTACTCTACGTGTCAAGCTCCTATTTGTTTTGCGCGACTCTGCGAACCATGCTTGAACATCCTGAACACAGAAAACACCAATACGCAAGACTTGCATAAGGCTGTGGCATACGTAACGCCAAATCGGGTTACAAAATGCTGTGTGTTTCAAATCGTTGTTGCCTCACGCTGGACATAATGATATGTAATGAGCAATTTCGATCGGATGCCCTTGGTTGATCTTCGAGTGATCGTTCTGGTCGCTCCGCTGTCAGTCAGCAGGTTTCGATTCTGGCCAACGCCCCACAACCATTGCGTGCGCTTGAACGGTACAGCAAAAGCGAATGGATGGGGCGGTGATTTGCATTTGCGTTTGGCTTGCTGTAGCTTCCAAGCAAAAACGATGTTTGAATGCTTCGGCGACGATGCACCAAAATCGCCATCGTGCGACGCTGCGCCGGACCCCGGTTCAAGTCGGTGTCATACTCTATTCGATTTTGGCTTCGTGCAAATGAGGTGTGGGGGTCGATACTTGAAATCGTTTGCTGATGCTGCGCCGAACATCCCAAACTGATTTCTATGACCCCTCAGGGGCATCTTCCGCATCGCCTTTAAAACTTCCGCCTTTCACAATGCACACTGGCAACATGTTGGCTGACGCCAGTGCTGCTAGTGCGGACGACATGATTCGGGCGTCTGCTACATGAGACCTTTGGGCCACGCCGTTCACCACGGCGAACACCTGGGCCAGCGGCGAGTTGTTCCCAGAAGTGCTTCAATATGAACCCATCGCATTGTGACTTGTGTTGCCGTGCCACTCCAGAACTGAGGTCCAGACTCTGGAACCTCCGACGCAACCTATGTGATCTCGCGCGTTGTCTGGACAGCTTTGACGGGGTAGCCTCGACTGGCCGCTTACACTGGAGTTCGTTAGATCGCCTCCAGAGCCGAGGAGCCCTATCTGCCATGGGCTGCGGAGAACTCAGTTGATCGCTGCTAACCCCGACTAGACCCGACTCGCCGTTTCCACTGGGTTGCCAGGGAACTCGGCTGGCCAAGGTTCGCCCTGGCCAGCCCCGACCAATCGTTTGCCTGTGACTGTTGGGACTTCGGTTGCTCAAACCTATAACCGACTGGTCACATGCCCGTGGCTGCGAAGAGGTCGGCTGGCCAAGAGCAGATCACCGGATTTGCTCCGACCGGCTGCCTGCCTGTGACTGACGGGACTTTGGTTGGCCAAGGTTGACCCTTAGCAATCCATTCTGGCCGCCGCTTGCTCCCGCTGCCAGAAATTCGGCAGGTCAAGGCCCGACTCGGCCTGAACTGCCGTGACACGGCTGGCCAAGATGAGCCCCGCGTTTGCCCACGATGCCCTTGCTTTCAGCGTGTGCGGCTTCATACACTTAAGCAAATTCGGGTGTTAGGACTCTACGCGCTCTTTGCATGCTCAAGATGCTGCTCGTGTGCATGCTTCCCTTAACATTGCACTCTCCCCTGGACTTCGATAGACCTTTTCTAACTGATCGCTGTCCATATGTTCCTTCCGCCCCCCTGAGTCCTCGTAGCTGTATGTCACCGTGGCTGGAATGAGCCTTTGTAGATACATGGTGTAAGGAAGGTGGCGGCAACATGAACATCGGTGCGCGAAATAGTGCGTCATACTGTCGCACCGTAGACACATGTACACAATCCGACAAAACGATCGCAACACGATCTCAATCCCACAACCACTTCCGAGGCTTTCGTTATCCTATGACGTGGTCGGATGAAAAATGGATCGGTCATCGAATGCGAGGCGGGCTCAGAATGGGGCGACGTGCTCCGACATGGCCTCACCAAGACAAATCATGCGAGAACAGCGCCAACCCACACGAATAGTGCAAGAGAAGCCCTGAATACGAGAGATCTTGCACAGTACTCCGCGAGAATCGGCGTGCTGGAGGGGCCCCAGGTTCTAGAGAAGCCAGACACCACTATCTGACTTCTCAACACAGTTGCCACGCTCCACTGTTGCTCACTTCATCCCTCCCTTCTTCTCCTGCTTCTCCTCCCCATCTGGGGATGACGGGGCCCTCAGAATCGGGCTCATCTTCCAACTTTGGTTAGCCCCCACCCCCCGAAACGTGAATCAGGCCAAGGGTATCTGGCCCTGGCGACGAGGGAAAAGCGTGCAACATACGCCCCCAGAATGCGTTTCAATCACAACCGCATTTGGATCATGGCGGCGGTGCAGGGGAAACGTGCCGTGAGCAACGAGGAAGATTAAGGCAGCCAACACCCGCCTTCTTTAGCAAGCCACCGCATGCCCTCTTCATCAACCGAAAACACCCTTCGCCTCGCTCCCAACCCTTCCCCTCGACATCAACTCCACACTCCTCGCGCGCATCACGCAATCTCCTGAATATCACATGGTGCAGTGCAGAGCCTCGATCCCGATCCACAAACTACACAACGTGGCCCCACGAGTGGCAACCTGCATGGACAGGTCACTTTTCCAAGCGTTGGGCCTCTTGCTCTCCACTTGGCTCCGCCTCACCCGTTTCTCAACGGAAGACGTCCTCATCATGATCACGATCATCATTAGCAATCTTATCATCATGAGCATGACCACCACGACCATCATGACCATTGCCATCATGACCAGCATCATCAACACTATCATCAACACCATCGTCATCATCATCATCGTCGTCGTCGTCACCATCATTATCGCCACCAAAATCATCATCACCATCATCATCATGGCCATAACAATCATCATCACCATCATCACCATTATCAGCAGTATCATCATCATCAACAGCAGTCGCATCAACATCAGCGTCATCATCATCACCACCATCATCATCACCACCACCACTATCAGCATCATCCTCATAACCCTCATCATCATCATCATCATCATCGCCACCATGGTCACCACAACCACCACCACCACCATCATCAGCATCACAATGACCATCGCCACCACCATCATCCTCATTATCACCATCACCATCACCGTCACCACCACCACAACCATCATCATCATCACCATCATCATGACCACCACCATCAGCATCATCATCAGCATCGTCATCATCACCATCATCATAACCACCACCATCACCATCACCATCACCATCACCATCACCATCATCATCATCATCACCATCATCATCATGATCATCATCATCATCCGCATCACCATCACCAACAACATCATCCTCATCCCCATCCTCATTCGCATCCTCATCCTCATCGTGATTATCATCCTTCCCCTCGTCCTCGTCGTCGTCGTCGTCCTCCTCCTCCTCCTGATTCATCGCCAGCATCAGCATCAGCATCAGCATCAGCATCAGCATCAGTATCAGCATCAGCATCAGCATCAGCATCATCATCATCATCATCATCACCATCATCATCATCTTCATCATCGTCATCGTCATCGTCATCGTCGTCATCATCATCATCATTATCATCAGCATCATCGTCGACTTTCGCATCGCAATTAGCGACGTTATCGTCATCGTCATTACCATCTCCGTTGGTCTGGTTGTTTTCCGCATCACCACAACCGACGCCACTGTCCTCAGTGCACCTCCCCTCTTCACCCTTTGTCGCAGAACAGAACATACTCTTCTTCCCTGCCCTGCTCTGCTCGCTGACACACGTCCTCACCACTGCTTCCTGCTCATCCTGCTCCATTTCCTCTCCCGGCGGGACCCCGCCGAAACTCGAGACAGGTGGCTGCCAAACACGCGCCATGCCTCAAGAGGGCCCTCAGGCGGCCCAGGAGAGCGCCAAGACGCCCAAGATGGCCTCCAAGACGGCCCTCAAGCGCCCCAAGAGGGCCCGAAGTCGGCCCAAAGAGCCCCCCTTAGATGGCTTCCGACGGCGTCAGACGGGCCAGGAACGCCCTCAGACGGCCAAAGACCCTCCCAAGGAGACTCCAAAGGCCCCAGGAGGCCCAAGGAAACCCCCAAGAGGGCCTCAGGAAGCTCCCAGGAGGCCCCTGAAGTGCCCCAAGAGGCTCCCAATAGGCCTCCTCCTGCTCCTCCTCCTGCTCCTCCTCCTCCTCCTCATCCTTCTCCTCCTCCCTTCTCCTCTCTCTCTCCATTTATACTTCTTCTTCTTCCCTACCCCACGTGTTCCCTGAAGGGCTTCAACAACGGCTGGGAGAACACATAATCCGATAGCTTGGCCGAGCTCTGGCCGCAACGTTTGGCCGCATAGGCGCATCTAAAAGAAAAGGGGCTGCGGTGATTCGCCGCAGGCGTCTTCGATCCGCCGCCCCCTGTTGATTTATCAAAGGAGTGCCTGGCCTTCTCACCGGCCTTCGGCTCAGCCCGCTGGCCCTGCAGGAAATATGCAATTTATCGGTTCTCCTGCTTCAGACGGCCCCGGGATGGCCTCCGAAACGGCCTCAAGATGGCGTCCAATAACGTCCCAATACTGCCCAAGAGGCCCCCCAAACTCCCGCACGACAGCACAAGACGCCCCCACGACGGCCCAAGAGGCCAGACACGCCAAGACGCCCCTGAAGCCCAAAAGACCTACGACTGCCCATAGAGAGAGTCCCAGGACGGCCTCTGAAGGCCAAGAGGTTCGTCAAAGGCTCCCAAGAGGCTCCCAGGAAGCCCCCAAGACTGCCCCAACAAGCCTCCTTTTACTTTTCCTCCTTGTCCTCATTCTCCTCCCTCTTGTCCTCCTCATCAGGGAACGGCGGTAGTTCGCCGTATGCGTCTTCGATCCGCCGCTCCCTTCGCCTGCAACGGGGTGCCTGGCTTGCCAGATGTTCGAGCTCTTCTGGCCCCCACAAACAATTCCCAATGCTTTCGGCCTATCCCGCCGGACCCGCGGAAAAAGTTGATTCCCTGGGCGTACCCGCTCAAGATTGCCCCAAGATGGCCTCCGAGACGGTCTCAAAACGCTTGCAAGACGCGCAGGATGGCCCAATGTGGCCTCGAGATGGCCTCAACGCGGCCTACGATGGCTTCGAGACGGCCCCAGATTCTATCAAAGTGGCCCTAGAGGCCCTCCATGCGGCCCAAGAGGGCTACAAGAGGTCCTCCTTGAAAGCCCGAAGACGTCGAAGTTATGGATTTCCCCTAAGATTTATGGCAGATCTTTCTCGCCGTTTCGGGCTTCTGACATTGATCCCAGGAGCTTTACAGCCCAAAGACGGACCACGGCCTCCGAACTCGTCAGACGGGCCCAGGGAGCCCTAAGGCGGCCCAAGATGCCCCCACAAGGCTCCCATAAGTCCCCAAGGAGCCCCAGGAAGCCTCCAGGAGGCCCCTTAGAGGCTCCAAGGGCGCGCTCAGGAGGCCCCAAGAGGCCTCCGTCTCCTCCTCCTCCTCCTCCTCCTCCTTCTCCTCCTCCTCCTCCTCCTCCTGCTCCTCCCTCCTCCTCCTCCTGCTTCTCCCTCCTCCTCCTGCTCCTCCTCCTCCTCCTCCTCCTTTCGTTTTTCTCATACGTGACTCCCACCTGTCGCATCCCGAGGCAACTCGGAAGGGCAGGCCGGGCGGTTCGCCCGAGACCTCCGCACCACTCCTGGTACGGAAGCTTGAACAGTCGGCACCATCTTCACAGGTGGATGGAGGGCGGGGGGGTTGTCAACATGTGGCTCTCGCTTTCGCGCAGCGCACTTTCGTTTTCAAAGCGTGGTAGGATTGCAGCGGATCGAGGGTGGGTGGTTTTCAACACGTGGCTCTCGCCTCAGCGCCGCGCGCACATTCGTCCTGAAACATTGCGCGGGTTGCACGGGTTGAGGGCGGGTCGTTCTTAACATGTGGCTCTCGCCTGTGCGCCGCGCGCATTCTTTTTTTACAAGTATTGCAAGACTTTCGCGGAGTGAGGGCGGTTCGTCTTCACGCTATCGGCGCAGCGCAGCGCATATCCTTTATACACAATTGCATGGGTTTCACAGATTAAAGACGGGTCCTTTTCAACATGTCACTCTCGCCTTTAGCGCCGCGCACATCAGCTCTAAGCATTGTCCAGAGTTTGACGGATTCTCATGGTTAACGTACCAGAGACGGTGCTCATTCAAGATTGTCAGGGCGCGACGGTTACGTTGATTCGCGGTGTTGAAGTCCCAAGGACCGTGTTCTGGTGCGATGCAAGACCGTCGAGATTAAGTCCTGAGAATCATGTTTTGGCACGTTATCGGATCTTCAAACGTCTGCCTCGCAACGGGGCATTTTCCTCAGTGGACATGAACCCTGGTATGGGGCCTATGAAGAGGGAGCTTTGGCGGAGGGTTTATCCCAACATCGTCGATCAGACTTTGGTTGCACTGGTCCTCCTCCTCCTCGTCCTCCTCCTCCTCCTCTCTACCTCCCCCAAGTGTTCTTCATAGGGTTTCCACACCGTCTGGGGGAGCATATCGTCCAACTGACTGGCCAGACTGTGGCCCCACATTGGGCCACATAGGCGCTTCCAGAAGGCAGGGGGCGGCGGTGGTTTGCAGTAATCGTCTTCGATGAGCCAGGGGATCTGGGCGCAGAACCCTGGAGCGCTGCTCACCAGGTCGAAGCTCAGGCCGCCGGGCAACGTCCCAGAGAAGACGGCCGTCGCGGAGCCGTTGCTGGTCGCGGCCATCGCCACCGTGTATGTCTGGCGCAGGCCAGAGAATATCCAGGTGGGGGGGGCATCGCGTGCTCATCATGGACTTCCGGGCAGTGGGCCATCCGATTTGGGAGCGTGGGGCACGGCACGAGCAAGGATCGAGAAGGGTGCCTCTGCTGGCGGACGTATGCCCTCGAGGTCGCGCTCGAGTGGGATCACAGCCCGGTGCGAGAGCGTGTGATGGGGCACGAGCCAAGCGCAGTAAGCCGTGTCTTTGCGGACAGAGAGAGATGGCCCCGAAGCCACACCTGAGGGACAGCAGCCCGATGAAGGAGCGTTAGATAAGGTATGCATGAACCAGGGGCCGAGCGTGTGCCTTTGCTGACAAGGACAAATTTTCGAAAGCACATTTGGGGGGCCCACCTGCCCGACCCTTGTGGGCCAGCCTTCAATCTCACACGGCCAATCTAACATCGCGCGTGAGGATTCCGATAAGGGGCTCAAGAGCAGGTGCGAAGTGGCAGGTGGCGAAGTTTGCAAGAAGCCAGAGGTTTGAGAAGAGCGGGCGCCGCCACTGAGCAAGGGGAGATGCGAGGGAAGACGAGACAGGGACAGGGCGCATGGGTGAGGCAACGCGCGTAAGATCTCCCCGCACGCGTGCTCTGCTCTGCTCTGCTCTGCTCTGCTCTGCTCTGCTCTGTTCTGCTCTGCTCTGCTCTGCGTGTGCTGTGCACGGCCCGTCGTCCAGACACCGAAAGGTCACCAATGGTTGTCGGGTGCCCGTGTAGCTCGCAGACATGCGAGATCTGGCGGTCCTGGGGCCCGCACCTCGAGAACTGCACCTTGCAACCGGTCCCATGCAGCTGACGAGGAGGGGTTCGAAACAACAGCAACGCGAGCCGCGCCAAGGGCCAAAAGGGCCCTCTGGGCACTGCAGCGTGGCCCGTCCTGCACCGCGTCCACCGGAGAGGCAGTGCGCGCAGAGCCCCCAACAGTCAAGCTGCTCGACGAGGGTGTAAGGCAGAACGGGCAGCTCGATCTGTCAGCTACCGTGGCGAATGCTGTGTTCCAGCAGCTTCCGGGGGCGAACGCGTCACGGTTAAACAAAACGGGGACGAGCAGCTCGAGGCAGTCCCTGGTCCTGACTCAGACTCGTGCCGCTTTCTGCAGTCCCCCCCTGAAAATCATCTTCGGCTTGACCTACAAATCTTCTTGCCTACTGGGATCGGGGGAGGTTTTTTCGCAACCGCGCAACGCAGGGCCACGATAGCCGACCTGCCGGGGAAGCGTGCAGGGCAGAAGCAACGTCGCCAGCAAGCTTGCCGCTCCTCAGGCCTGTCCCTCCCGCTCCCCGTGGCCGCACGCTGCCTGATTGCCGTGCTCGTCCCCGAACTGGGAGTCGCCATCGACGCCTGCTCCGGCGAGGCGGCGAGTGCCGAGGACAGGCACGCTGCTGGCGGGGACGAGAAGGTGCGGCGCTCGCGGGCCAACTGCGAGCTGCAACGGACCTGTTCGCACACGGCTTCCGACCCACCCGCGAGCACACCCACCCTCACGACTGGGGCGAGGCGGATCGGAAGTGGGGACTGGGTGGGAGGTGGAGGAGGAAGAGGAGGAGGCAAAGGCAGAGGAGCGGGACGAGCAGGAGCAGGAGGGACACGAGCAGGAGCAGGAGCCAGAGAGCGTGGAAAGACGAGCTCGACAGGGCCCAAGCGCAGCGTGAGGGACTGCCCCGCAATCGTCTCACCGGTGGGCATCCCCGGGCGCCCCTCCGGCCCTCGCTGCCCGCCCCGCCGGTCGCCGCCCTCAGGTGGTGCGGCAGCGACGCTGGAGGCTCCGACGCTGGAGGCTCCTCCTCCCTTCTCCTCCTCCTCCTCCTCTTCCTCCTCCTCCTCCTCCTCCTCCTCCTCCTCCTCCTCCTCCCCCTCCTCCTCCTCCTCCTCCTCCTCCTCCTCCCTCCTCCTCCTCCTCCTCCTCCTGCTCCTCCTCCTCCTCCTCCTCCTCCTCCTCCTCCTCCCGAGCGCCTCGTTCACTGCAAGGCGAGCCTGCGCACCACGGCGCAGGTGCACCGGAGAGGAGCCCAGAGCAGCGGACTTCTGAAGCTTTTGCGCGGGTGCTGCCCGCCTGCCCGCCGTGCAGGCTGCTGCCTGCGACTCCTGTGGCGAGCCTCTGCGTTTCTGCTCTCTCTCTCTCTCTCTCTCTCTGCTTCTCTTTCTCTCTCTCTCTCTCTACCTACTCCTGTGGCAAGCCTCTTTTCTTCTGCACTCTTTTCTGCTCTCCCTCTCTCTCTCGTTGTCGCCCTCGCAACTCAACTCAACTTAACTCTGCTCGAGCTTCTCTGATCTGTGCTCTCTACTGTATATTCTGCCGTCCTGACCGTGGTCGCGCATCCGCCGACTCTTCGGCGTGTGTGAGACGCTTTTCATTTCAGCCGCCATCGTCGTCGTCGTCATCGTCGTCGTCGTCGCCGTTTGTCCCAAGGAAAGGAAGGAACAAGGAAATTGAATGACGTCGTAGGTACGCCGAAGGGAAGCCCCTTCCCTCTGATCCCTTCCCTGCGGGGGGGTGATCCGGGGGGAGACCTTCCCCTGCTTTAGGGTCCGTGTCCCTTAAGATGGGATGCCTTCAGGAGTGTCTCTTGCGCATTCGAATCGCACTTCTGAAGGACCCCGACCTTCCCACACAACTAGGCCCTGGCCCTGGGCAGAACCCGCGGGCAGGGCCTCCCCAGCGCCGCTCGGCCGCGCCTGCGGGCCAGGGCCTGGGAATGTCGGACTGCCTCGAGGACGCTGTTCTTGAAGGGGCCCTGGGACACACATGTAGATAGACACAAATGGGTTTTTGTCTTCCCCCCACTTCCCATACTGTCCCTGATTCTCTGGGGAATCGACGATCACTTGTGTCTGTGTGTTTTTTCCCCTCCTGAGTTCTGCGCGCGCAGAGCGCAGTCTTGAACGCTCCCCGCAATTCCACGCCCAGGGCACGGTGTCCCCCCCGCCGGATGCCCCAGTGCAGGGGCCCCCAGCGCCGCGCGGCGGCGCCCACGGGCCAAGCCCTGTGGGAATTGCGGGCTGTGCCGTGCAGAGGCCCTTGTGCGCGCGCACAGCGCACTTTTTTGATCCGCGGGTCGAGAGCGCACCTCTTCCGGTCGAAGCTAAGCGGGCCGCGCACAACTTGAATTAACGGGAGGGGGGCAGAAGGAGGGGCCTCACAACAAGGCCAGCGCGCACAGCGCACACCCGAAGGCTTCCCGTAGCTCCCGGCCTGGGGCATGGTGCCCCGAGCCCCGGGGCCCGCAGGACGGGCCCCCCCAGCGGTGCTCGGCTGCGCCTGCGGCCTGCGGCCCGGGAGTCACGGGAGGTGCCTGGATGCGGCCTGGATGCGGCCGTCCTGCGCGCGCAGAACGCACTGCTGGAGGACTCCCGCAATGCCAAGCCCAGGGCCACCCCGCCGCTCGGCGGCGCCTGCGGGCCAGACCCTGGGGATTGCGGGATGTGCCTTGAGGAGGCCGTTCTGCGCACGCAGAACACGCATCTGAAGGTTGCCCAGAAGTCCATGCCCAGGGCCTGGCGCCCAGGATCTGGGAACTACTGGATGCCTTGAGGAGGCCGTTCTGCGCGCGCAAAACGCACCGCTGAAGGTTCCCCGCAATTTGATGCCCAAGGCCTGGCGCCCCCAGCCTAGGGCCCGTCTCGGGCCGCGGCGCTGGGCGGCGGCGCTCACGGGCCAATACCTGGGAATTGCGGGATGCATTGAGGAAGCCGCTTTGCGCGCGCAAAATGCGTTTCTGAAGGTTTCCAGCAAGGGGGGTCTCAGGGGGGTCCCCGAGGGGGTCCCCGAGGGGGGGGGGGGTCCCAGGGGGGTCCCCGAGGGGGGGGGGGGGGGAGCTTCCCAGGTCAGAATACCATCCCCCCCCCGCGGGGGGTCCTGCAGCCCCCCCAAAACTCCACGACGGGCCAAGAGCGCCCCAAGGGGCCACCAAGATAGTCCAAGAGGACCCCGAATGGCCGAACGATCGGTCGAAGACGCCCGAGATAGGCTCAAGACAGCCCAGGAAGCCTCCAAGACGCCCCAAGAAACCTCCAATAGCACTTCCACGAGGGCCTCACACGGCAAACTTTCTTGACGTTCCTTCGGTTTTTGACAGATTTGGCGTTCTCGCCCTTTCGGCTTTCCTACGCTCTTCGACTGCCCAAGAGGCCCCAAGATCGCCCCCCCAAGGCCCAAGAGGCCCCAAGGAAGCCCCAAGAGGGCTCTAAGATGCTCCCGAGAGGCCCCGAAGTTGCTCCCAACAGGCTCCCAAACTGACCCCACGAGGCATCCGAAAGCTCTCGAAAGAGACCCCAATAAGCATCCCTGAGGACTCTGATCCACGTCAGCGTCGTCGTCGTCGTCGTCGTCGTCGTCGTCGTCGTCGTCGCCACCGCCGCCGTCGTCGTCGTCACCCTTCAGGGTCGGGGACACCGGACGTGAGGCAGTCGCAATACTCTCTGTCTCTCTCTCTCTCTCTTTCTCTCTCTCTCTCTTTGCTCTCTCCCTCTCTCTCTGTCTTTCAGTATATGTATGTGTGTATGTATGCATGCATGCATGCATGCACGCACGCACGCATGTATGTATGTACGTATGCAGATTTGTATGTATATACACATACATATATACATATATATATATATATATATATCGATATTTATAATCAATGATTTTATTTATTTCTCTGTTCTGTACATGCATACATGCTACTACTCTGTGTTTGAGCTACATGCTGTACACGCTCTGCTCTATATTATGTAATATCTTCTCTCCAGTCTCTCCGCCCACCTTCGACCTCTACTCTCTGATCTGTATTTCTGCTCTCAACTCTGCTCTCTAGTGCAAGGAACCCTGGAATCAAGCACCCGGCCGCCCACCGGAACCGGCCCAACGCCTAAAGCTGGAACCCAAGAACCTGGCCGCCCAGCGAGATCGGCCCAGCACTTTCGCCGGAACCGGGAACCAGGCACCCAAAAACATGCCGCCCTCTGAAATCGGCCCGCAACTTTCGCATCTGCTAGGTCCCCTTCAATGCAAACGTGATTGGGGAATGTCCTGAAGGTTGTTCGCCGCTCTCGGCCTGTGGGGGCCCTGCTCGGGCCCTGGACGGAGCACGAGCGCGCGATCCGATCACTGCGTCAGTCACGGTGCGCTGGCCACGGTGATGCTTGGCGAGGTGGCTGCAGGCCGACGCCCCCCCGCTCCCACGCATCGTCGTCAACCTCCTGCCCCCCAGCTCCTCCTTCGCTTCCTCCCCGTCTCCTGTCCTTCGCCTCCTGCTGCTGCTGCTGCTGCTCCTCCTCCTGTCGCTCCTGCCCCCCTGCTGCTGCTCCTCCACATCCCTCACCCCCCCCTCTCGTCGTTGTCCTCTTCCTGCAACTTCTGCTGCTCCTCCACCCCTCATTTTGCTTCTCTTCCTCCTCTTACATCAACTGCTCCTCCTCCTCATTCTCCTCCTCCCGATCCGTGCTCGTGCTACCTCCTCCTCCGCCTCCTCCTTCTTCTCCTCGTCTTTCTCCATCTCCTCGTCCTCCTCCCTATCCTGCAGTTCCTCCTCCTCTGCAGGCCCTTGCTCCTACAGAGCTACTGCTGCTGCCTGCTGCTGCTTTTGTTCTTCCTCATCCACCTCCTCTTCCTCCTTCTCCTCCTCCTCCTCCTCCTTGTCATCTTCCTCCCTTGTTCTCTCCATCCTCCTCCCTCCGTCCTCTTTCACTCTTTCCCCAGCACGTGTGGCACAATATCCAAGGCTCCGCGCACTGCTGATGACGGCTCTAAGCTAGGCGTCGGGCGCGAGGAAGCAAGAGAGCTCTGCATGAACGAAGGAAGGGAAACTATGGTGGGATACTATGAGGGGAAAGGGTCGGGAGACACGGATGACGTCAATAGTGCAAGGACTGGAGACAGATATCGGGGAATCAGACAGCCGCTCCGTCTTCCGGCCTGTGGTCGAGCTTCCGTCGGAAGCGTTCTGCAGCGTCAGGATCGCATCCCCTGCGCGCGCGCCACGCGGGCGACCCCAGAGGCTGCCGAGGCGGGACAAGACTGGCTGCCCTCGGCATGCCTGGTTCGTTTCGAAAGTCGCTGCCGCTCCTCATCTGCTCGCCCTTTGCATCCCTCCCCGAATCCCACCCCGCGCGCTTCTCGTCTAACAATGCTGCCGTAAATCGCTGTCCCCGAGGATAACCCCGGAGCGAGTGGCCTCTGCTTCGCTCAACGCTCAGTCGGATGATACAGGTGCTTGAAGCAGCTCAGAGCGCAAGAGGCAACATCACATTACATCCTGGCGGGGGAACAGCCTCAGCACCGTACTTACATTAGTGTATAGGGAGACCACGATGCTGTACTGTACGAACTGAACGCAGTGCGGGAGAACATACGAAAGAACATACGGGAGACCGCACGGGAGAGCATACGGGAGACAACATGGAAGGTACGAGAGAGCATGCGGGAGAACATGCGGGACGACATAGGGAAACATGCGGGAGAGCATGCGGAAGAGCACACGGAGGAGCCTATGCAGAAGAGCCTGCGGGAGACAAGGCGGGAGACCAAACAGACGGCCATACCAGAGATCGTCGAGGAGACCGTGCGGGAGAGCACATGGGAGATAACATGGGAGAACATATGGGAGAAGATGCGGGAGGATTGCAAAAAAACCTTAGACGAAGGATTGCAAAAAAACCCGAAGGATTGCAATCCTTCGTTCACGCGGGAGAACAGAACACGCGGGAAAAAGTACGGGAGAGCAGATATGGGGGAGAACATACGGTGGAACACGCGCGAGAGGCCGCGAGCCACCGAGGCCGCAGCCGGAGAGGCTCCACACCGGCTTCGGGGAGAATCTTGGGCACAGCCTGTCTTAGGAAGTGTGGTGGCTGCGCAGGTCCACTGGGGGAGTGGGAAGAGTGGGAAGGGAGAGGGGGAAAGTGAAGATGACCAGTTGGCACATGTGCTCACGCAGAGGAAACTCCCCGCGACACTCGGACATGGGCTACACCAGCGGCAAACTGGCCCGGTAACCGAACGGTGAGATGGGATATTCTCATCACATCTAGCATGATGGTGCAGCGACGGATGATGGCCTCATCAAGGAGATTCCTCTGCTTCGGACGCCCCAAAAACCATCATTATGAGAGGCGCCATCCGTTGCTTTATAGGAAATGGGTAACGGCCAACGCGTGAAACGGTCACCAAGCCGACTACCGCATGCACATGAACTATGTCGGGCCTGCGACGCGAGAAGCGCTGGACAACGGTCATCACGCCAACTACCTCGTACACTGACAATCATGGCCCTGATAGCCAGTTCTGGTAGCCAATTCCCACAATTCTTTGAGTGCCCACCCTCGGAAGGAGCGGGTACAAAAAACGGCGAGAAACCATCAAGAACGACTGAACACATTGCGATCCCCTGTCACCATGACAAACTTACTTTATGAAGACGGGTGGCTCGCAGTCGTCTTCTGACATAGCGCCTTTGAGCTGCAAAGCAACTTTGCCCAAATTTAGACGGGCATGCCTGTTCTGGAATACACCTCAGCTGAACTCGGCTTCGAAACAACTCTAGTATGGCTGACTCCGTGGTTGGTCTTGAACTGAGCGACGCGGGTGCAGCATTCCATGGTGGCTGCGGCGTTCAGGAGCTGCGGCGGCTGACCGTAGCGTAAGATGAAACATCCTTGGCTTCCTCGGAACATGCACAGCGTGAGCAAACGCTCTGTGCTCGATTTGGGCGCAACGCCCAATCGCTTACAAAACTGATGCTCCCTGTCTCATGGCCTTCACCAATCAGCGAATTCAGCAAAATTGCGGCCCAAAGCACGGTAATGCTCAAAGACGGAAAACTTCAATGCCCTCGGGGATCCGGTCGAACCATCACCTCGTCTGCAAAGAATAAGGCTCCTCATCGATAGCAGCCATGCTATCCGCAACCCTGATCTGATACTTCGTGACCAAGTGCTGTGGGTAGGTGCGCTCATGAGACCAGGGAGCCTTAACTAGGGCCCACTTCAGCGGGCAACTCGGGTTGTCTCGGAGCAGGTTCTCGGCATCTCGGCTCACCACGTGGCAGAGAGATCTCTACACCTCGTCCTCTTCATCTGAGTCTGCACCCAAGTCCTCGCTGAAATTGATGCCCACCAAGCGGTCGACCGATGGCGTGGACATGGGCTCCCTCCGTGTCGTCATCGGGAAGGCGCAACGGTGTCGTCATCATCGGGAACGCTGCCAAGCCCGACGCTAGTAGAGCGCAGCGTCACAGCCAGATGCGTCTCGCAAGAAAACCCCAACTGGATACAACCCACTGCTGCAAACATCCCGAGGAAAAAGCGGCTTCGAGCATGCCTCCTCCAGGAAGTAGGAGCACGCCGTCCGCAGCTGCGCCGCCGAATCGTCGATGCAAGCCTGGGAGTTCGACGCGGTCGAGATGGCAAGAACGCTGGACGTCAATGCGGGTTCGGCAACCGCTCCGACATCGCCCTGATGATCCAACGCGTGCAGTGGACTCGGCAGAAGAGGCGGCTGCTCCAGCACGCTTGCTCCTGCGTGGCATGGCCGACGGCAGAGGGGTCTTGATGGACATCTGCGTTTATAAACTGGCCTGGGGGAAGCGATCGGGAGCTTTGGGGCCGCGGCTTGAGCTACACGGCTGGCCCCTTCGTAAATGGCAACATGCCCTTCGTGATCGGCCAGGATTCACGCCGGGTCATGCCTGCCTCTCCCCTCGGCGTGTATGTTGAGCAACGGCATATTGTTGGGTCTGTAAGGCAGTGGGGTGCACGGCTGAATCGCGTGGTGGCATGGCGCGCCCCTTTAGCAACGCGGACTTCGCACAATGAGGTCACCCTCGCTTCAAGGGTATTCCGTGTGATGCAGGTCTGTCCGTCGCAAGAGAAGGAAAACGATTATGACGATGACGACGATGCTGATGCTGATGATGAGGATGCTGAGGATGATGATGCTGATGATGCTGATGCTAATGATGTGGAGAAGGTGACGGACATAATCAAATGCCATATGAACCGAATGCCAACATACACAAGTAATCCGTCTGCTTATGCATTGAATGGAGGGAGCGCTCGAGCGCCTTCGGCCACCATGGCTAACTTGAGGTTTTGCAATCCCTTCGGGAGCTCTATTGTCATCTTCCCGAGCAAGATGCTGACCTGCGCTGCTTCGCGCGGCACCCAAGTCACTGACCAAAACTAGAAATTGCGAGTGAAGGAAGAGAATTCAGGACACCTGGGATGGGGCCAGTTCAGGGTCCAAGCTCGCCACTCGTCGCGGACTCCGCGCTCCAGAACTCTCGCTCGGGCGTGGAGGGGGGGGGGAGGCGTGGACGGAGAAGGGCGACCAGAAGGGAACGAGCAGGAAGAGAGGGGAGAGACGAGGGGGAGAGACTGGTCCCGCGCTGTCGTGAGCCTGCTGAGGAGAGGGACACCAACGTCCAGGGAAAGTAGCCCAACGCGCCCCTCAGCAGGCTGAGGAGCACCAAGCGTACTCGCGTGCAGGGGGCCGCGGTGGCCGTGGACGGGGGGCGGGGCACGGGACCTGGGAGGATGCGAGGGGGCCACTGGCTGTGGGAGCGAGACGAGGGGAGCGAGACTGGGCAGAAGGGAGGGGTGGGAAACGAGGAGGGGGTTGAGGGGGGGAGAGAGGGGATAGGGGGGCTCTCCCTCCTCAGCTCTCCTCCTCACCCTCGCTCTCCTCCGTCCGCCCCTTCACCCCTGGGAGACGCGCGCCCGGAGATGCGGCCTCGTGGCATCTGCGACTCCTCATCCTTCCTCCCTCCCTCCCTCCCTCCCTCCCTCCTCCTCCTCCTCCTCCTCCTCCTCCCTCCCTCCCTCCCTCCCTCCTCCTCCTCCTTCTCCTCCTCCTCCTCCTCCTCCTGCTCCTCCTCCTCCTCCTCCTCCATTTTTTTTTTCCTCCTCCTCCTCCTCCTCTTTGCCCTCTCCCTGCCCCTCTCCTCCTCCTCCTCCCTCGTCTCCCTCTCCCCTCTCCGCCCTCCTCCCTGGTCTCCCGTGTCCTCCCCTCTCCCCCCCACCCCTCCCTTCTCCTTCTCCGTCGACCGTTTGGCGTGTGTGAGACGCTGGCGTCGGCGGCGTCGTCGTCGTCGTCGCCCGTCCTAAGAGAACGGAGGAAGAAGGAGAGGGAACTTCGTAGTCGAGTCGATTCGTTTCCCTTCATCCCTTCCCTGCTGCTGGGGGTGGGTGGGTGGGTGAGGGTGAATAGGGAGAGGTGGGGGGGGGGGGCGGTACCGGGTCATAATGCCGCCGCCCCCGTGGTCTCCGTTTGACAGTTCGCACCACTGTCACATGGCCCCCAGGTCCCCAGTTGACAGTTGGCGCCACTGTTACATGGGGCACTGTCAAATCGCCTCCTGGTCCCCGGTTGACAGTGGGCGCCAGTCACGTGGGCACCGAGGCCATCCGCTTCTCCATTTGACAGTGGGCCCCACTGTCACATGCCCCTCAGTTCCCCAAGTCACAGTGGGGGCCACTGTCCAGTAGATTGGCCACTGTCAAATTGCCCAGAAGTCCCCGGTGAACAATCCCCACTGTCAAATGGCCCCCAGGTCCCCGGTTGACAATGGGCGCCACTGTCTACTGGGCCCAAGGCCACCCAGGTCCCCGTTTGACAGTGGGCCCCGCTGTCAACTGGCCTCCGGGCTTCAGAGCGTCAGCGTCAGCGTCGTCGTCCCCCATAGGGGTTGACGGCGCCGGACGCCAGACCTGCCCAAGACCTAGCTCCCCCTCGTCGCGCCTCGAGGCGTGCCGGCGGGGCGGGCTGGGCGTTTCACCTGCAGCTTCCGCACACCATCTCGTGCTCGTAAGCTTGAGATGTGCAGGGGCTTCACGGACGGAAGGCGGGCCGTTTCCAACACGTGGCCCTCGCCGCAGCGCCGCGCACACTCGTAGCAAAAGTTTGGGAGAACTTCACGGCGTGCGGACGGGCCGTTTTCGAAGTGCGGCTTTCGTTTCAGCGACGCGCGCATTCGTCTTAAGATTAGCAGAAGTTTCACGGATGGGGGGCGGGCCGGTTCCAAAACGTGGCTTTCTCTTCAGCGCCGCGCGCATTCCTTTTCAAATTTTACAGACGTTTCACGGATGGAGGGCGAACGTTTATGTTGTTGTTGTTGTTGTTGTTGTTGTTGTTGTTGCTGTTGAACTCTCATTTCTGAAGAATAATTATTGTTGATCCCCCCTCACCGGTGCATGCTGTTATTTCTCAAGCAAAATGTGCCCGTCGACGCTCGCACCTTGTTTTTTGACTGGGAAAGTCTTCCTGCTCAAAATGGGCCCCTGGCCCCCCAGATTGCAACAACAACGGCTCCCGCCTGAGACTTCTTCAAAATTTACTCAGGACCCCCGCTCCTCAGACTTCCTCACAATTTACTCAGGATCGGTGCTCCCGCCTGTGACTTCCTTGCGATTTAGTCAAGACCCCCGCTCCCATCTGAGACTTCCTCACAATTTACTCAGGAACGGAGCTCCCGCTTGAGACTTCCTCGCGATTGAAGCAAGACTTCCTTGCAATTTAATCACGACCCCCGCTCCCGCCAGAGAGCCCCTCACATTTTATTCAGGAATTGCGCTCTCGCCTGTGACTTCCATGCAATTTATTCAGAAATCGCGCTGTCGACGCTCAGGAAACACGCTGCGCCAAGGACGCCGTTACAATTTACTTAGTAATCGCGCTCTCGCCATACTCAAGCATCCCGCTTGAATGTCCCACCCACCCGACCCGCCCGTCAGGGCATCGCCCGCCCGTCGTGGGCTCCCGCCCGAGACTTCCTTCAGGAACGGCTCTTTCGCCTAGGACTTCCTCGAACGTTCGCGCTCTCACCTTCCTGCTCCTCCTCCCTCTCCCTCCTCCCTTCTCCCTCCTCTCCTCCCTTCTCTCTCCCTCCTCTCTTCCCTCATCCTCATGCCTTTCTGCCCTATCCCCTCTCCCTCCTCTCCCTCCTCCCTTCTCCCTCCCTTCTCCTGCCTCCTCCCTCCCTCTTTATTTCTTTATTTCTCTCTCTCTCTCTCTCTCTCTCTCCCCTCTCTCTCTCTCTCTCTCCATTTTTTTGTCTCTCCTTTTTTTTTTTTTTTTTTTTTTTTTTCTCTCTCTCTCTCTCTCTGCCTCAAATCAGCCGCCCCCCTCTTCGCTCCTTCTCTCCTGGCGTTTTCCCTCTTCCTTCGTCCCTCCCTTCCTCCCTTCCTCCAACTTTCCCTCGTTCTCCCCCTTCTCTTCTTGCAGGGCCCACACCAGTTCCAATGGCGGGCACATGTACGCCCACGAAGGATTGTCCGCCCGTTCAGGTTTGCCCGCCTGTCTAAGCCCGCCGCCCCCAGCAAAGAGAAATAATGCCCCCAAAGGGGGTGTGATCGAGGACAAAAAGGGCGGGTATCGAGGGTGTGGGAACCCGTTTTGAATGTCACACGGGCAAATAAGAGCGAACAATCTTATAATGATTGTTGTTGTTGTTGTTGTTGTTGTCGTTGTTGTTGTTGTTGATGTTGCTGTTGTTGTTGTTGTTGTTGTTGTTGTTGTTGTTGAGCTCTCACTACTGAAGACTAATTATAGTGCACATTGTATTTTTCAAATGAAGCGCCCCTTCCGACGCTCGCACCTTGTTTTTTATCTAAACAAATCTTCCTCCTCAAACTGGGCACCTGGCCCCCGGTTTACAACAACAACGGCTCCCGCTTGATACTTCCTCGAAATTTACTCCGGTCCCCCGCTCCCGCTTGAGACTTCCTCGCAATTTACTCAAGAATCGCGCTCCCGCTTGAAACTTCCTTGTAATTTACTCAGGCGCCGCGCTCTTGCCATTCGGGAAAAGAACCGCCCGCAGTCAGAACAGCCCGGCCCGTCAGGCGAACGCCAGAGGCCCGTCCCACGAAGGGCTCAGCGGAACAGTCCGGTCCGTCAGGCGAACAGAGCCCGGCCCGTCAACCGAACACCCCCGAAGCCGCTTCCGAGAAGCCGGAAATCCAAACGCCAACTCTGGAACCAACGGCGTCAACCAATCGCCGTTCCGAACCACCGCCTGATCGCACCGAACACTGGAGTTCCCCAAAACAACCCCCAAACCCCAAACGCCAGTGCTGAGCCACCAACCCAGGAAGACAAAGCCTCGTGGCTATTTTGGGACTCCTATGGCGTGGTACTGTCAGCGATTTTCAAGTGTCTGGTCGTGCCTATTTTCGTATCCCGCGCATCATACGATTTATCAATGTTCGGTGGGCCTGCTATACAGACGGAGTACATTTTATACATTTTAGATACTTCTAGTCACTTTTAGCCACGATTCTGAATATGCTTAGCCACGCCATGTTTTTAGCCACGTTTAGCCACTTTGAGCCACGTTTAGCAATGTTTAGCCATGGGCGCCAACGAGCGTTTGCATGCCAAGATTTGAACCACGTTTGAAGACGAAATACACACGCAATCGTTTTCTAATCCGAACTTGCGCGAATGACTGCGTAACAATTTTAAGTGACGACGGCGATCATCATCTGCAGCTGTCCATAAAATGTCCTGTGCCTCGCGCCCAAAATGCGTCTTGGCCTATGGAAGATGTTTCACGTTTCGCGTGCCCCCACCAGCCGAGTCAGAAACGCTGCCCATGAGAGCTGGCGGGGCACGGGAGGAAGAGGCACATGTAGTGAAACAGCGTGGGCAACCATGGTGAACTGAGATAATCTCTGCGAACAAGGGGGTGGCCTTGGAGGGCCTGCTCGGGCCATCTCTGAGGCCCGCGCGGGGGCGAGGGAAGGAGGAGGAGGAGGAGGACGAGGAGGAGGACGACGACGACGAGGAAAACAGAAATGAGGAGGACGACGATGAAGACAAGGACGTGAAAGAGGACGAATACGAGGAGGAGGGTAACGATAAGGACGACGAAGATGCGGAGGAAAAGGAGAAGGATGATGATGATGATGATGATGATGATGATGATGATGAGGAGGAGGAGGAGGAGGAGGAGGAGGAGGAGGAGGAGGAGGACAGGGGCGAGGACTCATGCAGCCATCTCACGAGTATGCGGATTGTGACGAGGACGCGCACGAGGAGGAAGAGGAGAACGAGGGAGGGGACGAGGACGAAGATAAGGAGGGCGAGGAGGACGAGGACGAAAAGGATAAAGGGGGAGGACGAGGAGGAGGGAGAAGAGGGG